ATCTTTTGCAATGTGACTGTGCAGCTTCCCATCAAGAGGTGGAGTTTATTTGCTCGCCCCTTGGACCTGGACTGGTTTTGATGTTCTTCCAGTTCCGAGGCTAGGTCTCAAGAGGCTCTGCACACTTCTCATTTTCTTGGAACTATGTCACTGCCATATGAACCAGCCTGCGCTAGCCTGCTGGAGAACAGAGACCACATGGAGCAGAGCTCAGTTGTCCACAGGAGGCCACCCTAGCACAGTCTACAATCAGCTGACACCCAAATATGTGAGTAAACCCAGCCATGATCACCTGAATGGCCGCCCACCCCACAGCTGAGCATAGCCACATGCGTGAGTCCAGCCGAGACAGAAGAAACACCCACCCAACTCATAGACTTGTGAGCAAAAATAAGTACTCATTGCTTGAGGACACTGAGTTTTTGAGCAGTTTATTTTGCTATGATAGCTAACTGATAACAGAAACAACAGAAAAGTAAAATGGAACAAAATCTTGGTGGCAGTTCTCAAAGCAGTGGGTACAATACAAGTGTCTGCACCTCTGGGGATTGGGAAGCCAAGCAGAGAGGTAAGACCATTTTTTTCTCTCTGTTGGCAGAAGCTGAGAGAGGTGAATGCAGGGCAGTTATTATCTCTAGCACTCTGGAGTAAACCCATCACATGGAGAGAAGAAAAGGCAAGAGGCAGTGGCCGTCTTGGAGCGCCTGAGTTTCTGATTTTAGTCATTTCTGTCCTTTCCATGTCTTGATGATATGAGCAATAAACCCCTTTTCTCTTAAGCAGGCTTCACTTGCTCTCAAACACTTGCAACCACGAAAAGTCTGTGAATGAAATCAACAGCAGAGAACATCTTAGTTTTGCAAAACAAAAATTTTTTTAATTGGGGAAAGATAAGTCACATGTGGCAGACATGGAGAAGCACTACTCAGATCCTCCTTCGAGAAAGGACTCACTGCCCAGCTGGAAGGAATGTGGTTGACTGACAGCCTCCAGCTGTGAGCATGGCCTGCTTCCCCTTTCAATTCAAGGGCACATTATTCTGGGCACAGCCCCCAGGCAATGATTACCAAGGCATGTGGTACAAGAACTAGCGATTTCCATCCAAAGTTGGACTCCTCCATGGGCAATTTTCCTCTGCCCAAGATCCCACGTTCATCTGGCCGATGTTTTGTGAACTAGATTCTCCCTGCCCAATTCCATTCCCTCCTTTTTCCTTTCAAAGACGTATTTCTCAATATAGATTTTGTGTTTCTAACTCAGCGTCCCAACATTCTAGGAAGCCCTAAATTTGGTGTTTAATGACCCTTCCCCAGCAAACTTAAAATAATACAACCAAGACCATGAATATTTTCATAGACATCTTCTCTAGGCAGAAAGAAAGGGTTCTGTCTAGGAGCCATGAGTAGGTAGAGATAACAAATATCTTTCCCCTTTTAGCCCAAACTGGCTCTAGCTCCGTCTCTTTTCACCACTGTAAAGGCCACATTGCAATGGTGTAGGGCAAAGCAAAATCACAAATTAGGAAAGCCTTCCTGATCCGTCTGTTTTACTCATGGTATCTGTGCACTTGCCTCCACCCCCTGCCTTCCCCTCCCACTCCCCTTCTACCCCACCTCTAGAGCAGGAGATTAATTAATGAACTGTCACTCTGAATGATGCAGACCTTGCACACTTCTGAGCCATTTATTCTGAAGGCTTCCCATCATATCTAACCTTGAAGCTCCCAGGTACATGACAGATAGCTGGAAATAAGTCTGAACCTGATTCTTCATTTTGTTTTCTACTGGAAGATTCAGGAAGAACTAGAAAGGGAAGAAATTACAGGCTGTTCCCACCTTCACTTAGGCAGTCACTACTAGGATGACCAACCTTCGGACTGGTAGAATTCTTAGCAGAACTTCATATTTCTCCATCCTGACTAGCATAGAGCACAGTCAATAGTCAAGAATCAAACACCTTAAGCCCTACTTGTTTATTAGAATTTTTGCAAATACCATTTCTTCAAATTTATTTAAACTCATAATTGTCATTGTGATAATATACAATAATTGTGTAAATAGTCTCCAGTGATGGCCACCAACAATTTCTTTGGCCCTCCCCTTGAACCTGGGTTGGTCCTTTGAGTTTTTTGACCCAATACAATGTGGGGAAAGTGATGTTCTGAACTTCAGGGCCCAGGACTTGAAAGTATTTGCAGTTTCCGCTTCCTCTCCTGAAATCGGCTGCTGTTCTCCAAGAGGGTTAAACCACCTGGAGACAGCCAGCACCAGTGGCAGCCACATGAATGAGCCATCTCAGTCATTCCAGCCCAACTGAGTCTCAAAATACCTGCAGCCCCTGCCTGTATCACAAGGAGCAGGAGAACCTCCTGGCTGAATCCAATAAAGGTATGCAATCCTGAGAGATAATGAAATGGTGGTTGTTTCAAGCCACTAAGTTTAAGGGTCGTTTGTTACACAGCAATAGATAAATTAAACAATGATATTCCTACTATTTCAGATACTCCTACTTAAGAAGTAGTATGATGGTGTGGGAAATGCACACTCTCACACACTGCTGCTGAGAGCATAAATTCAAATACTTAATTTGGAGGGCAATTTGGCAGTATTTATTAACATTTGAAATGCATATGTCCTTTAATTTAGCAATTCCACTTCTCAGTATCTATTCTACAAAATCACCCACACATGTCAAAGAACAGGTACAAATATACCTATTTCAGTTTATTTAAAAGAGAAAAAGATATAATACCCATCAATGTAGGAGTGGCCATATGCCTAAGGGAATATTTTGCATCGCTGAAATAATGTGCCAGGCAAGGAACACAACCAGCCAAGATGCCTGGGGGTCTTAAAATGGGGGGTGAGGGCCAGCCACCCCTGACCCGCAACCAGATCTTAGAATATACTTACCAGCCATATGTGTTTCGTTGGGGTGTGTGGCTTAAGTGTTTATGTCCACCAAATTTCTGCTTAGATTTTTCTAATTCATTTTTAAGAGTTCTTTTTGCAATTAAAAAAATTAAATTAAATCAAAAAATAAATAAAATAAGGTGGCTCTATATGAATCAACATAAAACATATCTTCATTGTATTATTGAGCCGAAATAAGTTACAGTGTAGTATGTACAGTAAGAGCATTTATGGAAAAATACCCATGGAAATACTATATATTTGTAATTGCCTATATATATATTTTTTAAAAATAGATATTTGTGGGCCGGCCTGGTGGCGCACTGCTACAGTGCACCGCTTGGGAGCGCGGCGGCACTCCCGTCGAGGGTTCGGATCCCACATACAGACCGGTTCCCGCTCACTGGCTGAGCGAGGTGTGGGCGCAACACCGAGGGTTGCGATCCCGTTGCCAGACACGAAAAAAGACAAAAATGAAAAAAAAAAAAGATATTTGTATTATTAAAATAGTAATAGCTTTCATCTTTGTATCAAAAGAAACAGTTTGGGCTTAGATGAGAAATAGCACCCAGCTTTGGAAAGGCTCTGGGCCAGCCCCCAGAAGGGTTGGAGAAGGGCCCCGCCACTCCACGCACTGACTTTGCAGTAAAGTCTCTCAGCTGCAAACAACTGATCAAAGGCACTCGTGTCAATTAAACGTTCATGGAAACACTCATTTGCTGATGATGTCATCAGGACTGTGGGTCTGGGGACAGTGCTAAGTGGCCCTCTGTGGTTCCCGAGACGCTCTTGCTCTGGGCTGTGTCTGAGGATGTGCTGTGCGGGATGGCAGCTTTTCTGAGGGAAATCCAGGTGCCTGGAGAGGCTGCTGAGTAGGTGGGTAAATTTGAGATAAGCTGAGACCTACACTGACTTCAGCAAAAGCTGCCATTGTTCCCTCAGTCCCCCTTTGTACTGGAGCCCTCCCCCGCTGTTCAGGAGGAGCCCACCTCCTGGCCTCCCCAGCCGTCTGGCTGCTTTCCACAACGAGCTTTTCCTGAGCAGGACACACCTGGGCCGAGACTCAGGACTGGCCCACAGCAGAAGGCCTTCCAGCTGAAGGCTCTGCCCCGTATTCACACGGTGTCCTTGGCAAGTCAGCTTTTTCATTTGTCAATTGGGAACATTCTAAGGCTCTTCTGGCCTCATGGCTGTGATTATCTACGTTCCACCCACATAGGAAGAAAAGAAAAAGGTCCATGGGCATTAAGTCAATCCTGCTGCTGGAGCCATAACTAGAAAACAGGTGGCGTAAAGACCCTTTCCAGGTAGAGCCAGGGTGCTCCCTCTCAGCAGGGAAGGCAGTTCTGTGCCTCAGGGGGCTGGAAAAGCCTGGAATTGTTAAATTCCAGATTGCCAGAGCTGGGGAGGGCCTCACAGAGCCTCCAGGGCTCACTTTTCCAGAGATGGAAACCGAGTGAAAGGGAAAGTGACTAGCTCTGTCCCACTGCGAATTAGTGCAGAGCTGGGAGTGGAGCTGGACTCTGAGGCTCCCAGCCTGGGGCTCTCTTCCCAGCACACCCACTGCAGGGAGGGCTGAGGCTCAGAGCAGCCACCAGTGCTGGGGGAGGTCTGAAGCTCATCTCTAAACCCTGCTCCTCAAAGTTCGGCTGAGGCCCTACAGCTTGGGCCTCACCTCGGAGCTGGGTAGGAACACAGTGGCAGAACAGAGAGCACACCTTGGGTACACTTTCCACCGCAGAACCTTCTGGAAGCACTGTGGACCAGAGGCAAGGAGAGGTTCAGCTTGTGTCGCCCATGCCTCGTGAGCCTTCGCCACCGTGGAGAGTGGCTGGCCAGGAAGGGGAAGCATTTCAGGCTCCAGGAAACCTTGCAGACAGGTTCTCCAAGGCTGCAGCACCCGCACCTGCCTGCGCAGCTGACCAGCCCTGGCCAGCAGCGGCCAAGTTCAGCCAGCTGAATATGAATGTGGAAAGGTGGGCTGTGAAAGATCCGAGGTACTTCATTTGGGAGGTGTTGCACCTCCGGCCAGAGCCCTGGGTGGGAAGCGGGTGCGCACCGTGCAGCACCACCCGGTGCCTCCGCCACCTGGCCAGGCAGGCTGGGGTCCGCGGTGGCCACGGGGCCGGGGCGCCGTCGGGGAGTGCTCCTGCTCGTGCTGGCCATCAGCTCCTCCAAGGAGTCGCAGGAGATGGCTGGCTGCCTCTCGGGCCTCTTGTGACTGCTGCCGGGGCTTTGGAGGCACTGCTGCTGTCCGGGTGTTCTTCAGTGCTCTGCTCTGGCGACATGGCCATCCCGGGCCCCAACTCCCCAGGGTCCCAGACCACCCACGTGGCCAGCAGCTGGTCCAGCAGGTGCAGGGTCTTGTCCCCACCGTCGGGAGTGGGGGGGAGGGTGCTGCGGGGCTGAGTGTCGTGGCTGTTCCCGCGGTGACATCCCACTATCCAGGGCTGCCTCCTGCGGGCAGCTGTCGGGGCTGTCACCACCGCCTCAAGGCCCGGCTGCCGCTGCTGCCCATGGGGCGCCTGCTTGTATATCTAAATGCATAAGAAATCTGAAGGAGTTAACTGTATTCTTAGTCAGGAGAGGATAGTCTATGCTGCTATGATAAGCACCTCCAAGATTTCAACAGCTTAACACAAAAAAGGTTTATTTTATCCTCACAAAAAGTGTGATGTGAATCACGTGGTCCTCCTGTGTGGTCTCCTCCAAATGGTGACTTGGAGATCTGGGTGGCTTCCATGATGGAGTTACAGTCTGGTATGTGTGGCTTTCAGGGTCTCTGCACCATGAGAGGGGAGGGACAGAGGGGGTGCATTGGCTCTTAAGTGCCACGGCCTAGAACTAACAATATGTCATTGTTGCTCACAGTCTATTCATATGGCCCCAACCTTCCTGCAGTCTCATTTTTGAGAAATTTACATAATTTCCATTATTTTTCACCACTTCAAATACATGTATATGTGATAAGCTGAAAATCTCTTTACATTTGTACATCACTTTGCAGTTTTCAAACACCTCTCACATCTGTGATCTCAGTTTAAGCTACATAAAAATCCCATGTTCTAAGCAAGCTAGGTAAAATTCTCCCCTACTTTACAAATAGGAAAATGGAGGCCTAAAGAATCTTGATCAAGATCTAATGGCTATAAAAGAGCTGAGACTCAGAATGAACTCTGTGATGCTCTGAGTCCAGTTCTCTTTCCATTAGCCCATCAGCTTCCAATGTCTTTTGCAATGGCCTCAGTGTAAGTGAATAAAAGGAATTTAGCCAGATAATAAATAAGGATTTTAAGGACGTGAAAAAACAGCAGTTGCAGGAACCTGGGTCAGAGTGATTTTGAAAAAATGTTTGTTTCCATGTCTTTCTCCTTGACTAGAGTATGACTTTCTAAATGGGATTGGGCCACATTCACCTCTATAATCCCAATGTCTGTCACAGAGTTGACCCATGTTGAGCACTAGATAAATACTTATTGGATGAATGAATGGACTGATGGATTAATGGATGGGTGGATGGTGACAAAGATATGCACTTTATATCCCCTATCATAAAATCACAGCATTGTAGACCTTGAATAAACTTGTACCCTTACTACTCAAATGTGATGCCTGAAGCAGCAATGTCAACATCATGGGGAACTTGTTAGATATGAAGAACCTCCGACCCCACTCCAAACCTACTAAATCAGAATCTTCATCTTAACAAGATCTCAAAATGAATCATAAGCATTTTAAGCAAACTCAAATGCACTGATCTTGAGTTAACTCTTCTTATTTTATAGACAGAGAAGTTCTGTAGATTATTGAGAGTCTTCAAGATGCCCCAAGCCTTGGCTGAAAGCATAGTCCCACACCTCAGACCTCCTCTATCTAGTGCTTCTTTACACCACACCCTCTTCTCAAAATAAAAGAAATGCACCATAGAGTTTGTTTAAATTCAATGCATTTAATGTCTGTGCAGGGGATGGGGGAAGATGGTCTTTAATGATAAAACTAGTAGTACATTATACTTGTAGAAAATTTAGAAAACATAGGAGATTGAATGGTATGCAGGAAGCAGCACCCTAATATTACAGGTAAATCTTCCTTTTCTCATCTGTTCTACCATCCCCTTTCATCCTCCAGGAGCCCCTCCCCAAGGCTGGTCCTGGTTCTCATATCCTACCAACATTTCAAGAAGTCATTCAGGGTAGAGCTTGCTAAGGACAGCCCAGGAATGTACTTCACAAGAGAAAGAGAAACTAATACTGACTCTGCTAGACATTTTCACAAGGTGATCTTTGTTAATCCTTATACTACCCAATGATGCTGGTATTACATGCATTTCATGGAGAGAGAAAACTAAGCTCAAAGAAGGTAAGTAACTTGCCGAAGTCACTCTGTAAATGCAGAATCTTTGGTCTCAAAGTCTAAGATGGCCTGATATCAACCGTCCTAGAGTGGCTCAGGTGAAGAATAATCAGGGTGACCAGCAATATCTATTTCTCCAGTTAGAATGATGCAATGGAGCCAGAGGTCTGCTAGCTTTAGGATGACAGTGTCTTGTCCCTTTGAAAACACTGACAGAAGTTACTGGAGTACTGCCTGATACTAAGCCTCCTGGCCATACTCCAGCCCTACGCAGAGCCCCAGGGCCCTGAAAGTCTGCTCTGAACTCATCTGAGAAGCAGATGGCTCCTTCCCTGCCATGGAGACATGGCTGCCCTCCACAACATCAACTCAGATAACTATACAGAGCAAGCATCACCCCTTACCTGACATTTTCAACTCAGCAACTGTAGCAAAGTTGCCAGGAAGCTAGGAGCTTCAAAAAGTGCTCTGTGAATCTAGCTGCCTCTAGATCAGGCAAATATTGGATCCCCAATATTTCTGCTCCTTAATACACAAAACTAGGAGATAATTTCCAATGAGAATACATGGAGATCAGGGAGCTTCATTTTTCCAAGTGGAAGTGACTCACAACTTGAGAAGAAACACTGATGAATGATCACTGTCCAAATCAGAGGCTAAAAGTCATAGATTTTTACGATTTTAAAATCAGGGAACCAAGGACCAAATTATGCCAGTATTTGTGTACAATATGTGATAATCAAATCAGGATAGTTGGCAGATTTGTCAATACAAAACATACTCATTCTTTATGTCCGTTGACCATTTTGCCCTAACCCTCCCTCCTCCTCCCCCTTTCTCCTCTCTAATAACCACAGTTCTGTTCTCTCCTTCTGAAAATTCAATGGATTATTGTGTGTGTTGTTTCTTTCTTTCTTTTTTAGCTCCCACTTATGAGTGAGGACATGTGGTATTTCTCTCTGTGTGCCTGGCTTATTTCACTTAACCTAATTGTCTCCAAGTTCATCCATGTTGCTGCAAATGGCAGAACTTCATTCTTTTTTATGGCTGATTCGTCTTCCACTGTGTCTACATAGCAGAATAAATCCGAATGCTGAATCATGGCCTGTAAGGCCCCACCGATCCACCCCTGACTGTCTCCCTGACATCATCTCTTGTCACTCCTCCTCTCACTGTTTCCACTTGAAACAAGCAGACTGTGCCTTGAACATGCCAACCTAATTCCAGATTAGGCCTTTGCTCTTGCTGTTCCCTCAGCTCTGACTTTTCCATAGACCTCCTGATGTACGTTCCCTCCCCCAGAGGTATCTGTTCGCAGGCAACTCCCTCAGGCAGGCCTCCCTGACCATACATCTCAAGTAACTCCTTCATCCCTTACCCATTCTCTGGTCCATCACTCTGCTTTATTTGTTTAGTACCACTTAGCAGTGTATTTTATTTCTTCATTTGTTTATTGTGTCTCTTTCTCTGCACCACATCTCTTCCCAAAAATCTTAGCTCGTTAAGGTCATGGATGAATGTGTCTTCGTTACTGAGAATAGAGGTCCACAAACTCTTTCTATAAAGGGCTTTGCAGGTCATACTTGTATAGTCTCTTGCAATGAGTCATCTCTGTACAAAAGCAGCTAGAGATGATATGTAAGCACATGAGCATGGCTGTGTTCCAAAAAAACTTTATGTACAAAAAAACAGGCAGTTGGCTGGATTTGGCCCATGGGCCATAGTTTGCCAGCCTCTTATCTAGATGAGTATTTGGCATGTTTAAGATAATAAATAATTATCAAATTCTTAAATGAGCAAAAGATCTAAACAGAACAATCTTTGGTTAAAAAAAAAAACAATAAAATAGAAGGGAAAATAAATACTCAGCAGGATGGCTCTTGTATACATCTGGCAAGAGCTTATTAACAGAGCCTTATTGTCTCTATGCACTTACAAAGAAAACTTAATATTTCTGTCCCTCTGACACTTAGCAAAGAACTGAGAATATGCTTTGTATTAAGATCAGATTGATCAGCTGGATTCTATGGTCTTGAGAGATACTTGAGACCCAAATTAAGGATCCCCCTTCTCTACTTAAACCCAGTAGTGCCTGGATATAGAAAGAATAGTGTGTCCCATCGGCTGGTGATAAAAGCAACCCATGGCTTCTAAAAGACTTTTACTGAATTACCCACCACCAATGTTTTCCTCTGATTCTGTTACTCCCTGAACTGCATTTTTAGCCTTTTTTTCACTTCAATTCCCCCCCCACATATTCTTTAAATAGGATAAAAATTATTACTAGAGCACTGTAATTTATTGTGGGACTGCATCTGCCAAAGATAGGATTACTCAATTACTGAAGGAAGATAGAGACACAACTGGAGACTTCAGTTTGAGGGAAAGAATTTTCTGCTTTGAGAACAGGGGATTCCCAAGGCCCTAAAGTGAGCCCTGGAGTGAGCAAGGCCATTGCAATTCCCAGAGCCACTGCTTCTGCAGCAAATTAACCCCACAGCCTCCAGGGCTACTGAGGGAGTGAGCAAGGAAGTGGCAGACTCCAGCCCCACTGCCCTTGCAGTGAATGCATTGAATTGACCCTGTAGCCCCCAGAGCTATTGCAGACGACTGGGGTAGTTTTATCCACTGGTGGTGCTGCTTCCCCCATGAGGTAACCCCTCTACTGCTATGGATACCACAGAGGCATCAGAGGCTGTTGCAGCTAACAGTACCACTGCCACTGCACAAGGTAACCCCACTTCTCCTGCTTCTATTGTGGACATTGCAAATGGGAGGGAGGCAGGTGAAGCCTCTGGCACCACTCCTGTTCCCACGAGGTGACCCAGCTGCCACTGCAGACACAGCAAACTCAAGGGAGGCAGTTGCAGCTGCCACCCTCACAAGGTAACCCGTCAACCAGTGTGGACACTGTAGATGCATGGGAGGCAATTACAGCCACCAGAGCAGGCACCACCTCTTCAAGTTAACCCAGCTGCTGCTGCAGTCACTGTGGCTGCACAGGCAGCTGTGGAGGTCACTACAGCCAAGCAGGCAGCTAGTGCAACCATCACTGCTGCAGTCACTGACACCACCAGCACCACCAGATAGCCATCATCATTGTTCAAGAAGCCTGCCACTGCTGGAGCCACTGCTGCCACTCAGGCAACCCACCAAAGCCAACACCACAAACACTGCTTCCATG